TGGGAGTTAATGTTAGCTCTCTCCCCCTGAGGCAATGGCAGTTTGGGTGCCTTTTTTCCATGGAATGTATGCCTATGCCAGGAATGAAGACACAGATCAGAACAGAGCTGGCTGTTGATTTGTGTTCCTGGCAGGTTTTCTCAAGCAACCATGTGATGTCTCAGTATGAGACTTTCCAGCTTAAAGTGTCATTTTGTACAAATCCCTTGAGAATCTAAAATTTCCAAACAGTCTGCTCCATCTGAAGGTGACAGAAGTCCCATAAAGGAATATATAAGCCGTGGGAGCATGTGTAACTCTAGTCCAATGGCACAAAGCCTGTGTCTGGTTTTGTCAGGAACTAGGTAGCAGGACAAAATTGTATGACATGTACCTTCCCATACCACTAGCAATGTGTAAAATCTGTCTGATTTTATGTCTAGGTTCCAGGTAACCTTCATTGCATTGTCACTCTCCAATTAGACCACTGATGGGTTTTGGGACCCCCCCCCATCAGACTGACAGTAGGCCATGCATGCACTATTTGAGTCTGGAGTGGTGGGGGAACACGCCAAACATGGAAGTGGCAAATCCAACAATACTTCACATCACATGGGAACTTCCAGAGCTACTAAGACTGGAAGGAAGGCTCCTCCACCCAGGGAGGGAGAGGAAACAGGTACCAGGGAAATCAAAATGCTAATCCTCTTGATGTGTGGGAAAATTATCCCTTGTCTGGAGAATTGCTCATGCCAGGAAAGATTCACGAGTACCTCAGGCCCCAGGGCATGAACAGAAGAGAAGGCTTAAGAGTTACCTGTTCTCCCTACTCATCATGTGAGACAGGAGAGGCCCTGAAGGGAGCAGAGTCTAGAAAAACAAACAGAAGGTGGCTGACCCTGTTCACACACAGAATGAAAAACCAGCTCCAAGAAAGCATTGCAGGTATTAAACAGGCTCTCTTTCCCATGACAACTGGGGATCTAATCCTAGCTCAGTCCCTTGCCACACTAGTAAACTTTGTCAAGTTTTTTAACCTCTCTCAGTCTCTTCATATGCAAAATAAAAATAGTAATTACCTCTCTCATATGGTTGTTAGGAGAAATAAATAAATTACTGTAATGTCACATGCTAAAAAGCAAAATTCTCAACAAACATAGTGGACCTATGTCAAAATTTTTGTTTTGATTCATTCATGAAAGAACCATCAAGAAAGATTTTTCTTTTAATAGGCTGATTGGAAGAAGTATATAAAGACAGTCAGGCAAGGGATACCTAAGATTCTTAAGTTAGATGTAATACTCTTTTAACTTTCAGTGGAGTAATAAACACCATAACAGTTTTGAGCTTAACACCTCAACTAGGCCATAAAACCACACTATCCTGTCCAGCAGATCTAAATTGTCTCCTTTATCTGTTGTGAATTGTTAATCAAACATACTTTGCTAAACTCTTTTCTCAAGTATCAGATGATGACAAAGATCAAGACCTACTTCCACCAGACAGATTCTGGCATGAGAACAAAAATGTAAGTAATCACCATTTTGTCTTTTTTCCAGGTTTGAAATGATTATTTTTCTTCCACACTGACACACAGCGGGGGCCCAATAAGCATTGCCAGCTTGCCCTCCCCTGTTCAACCCATTTGAATTTAGACTGAATTCTCTTAGACTTGATTCAACCAAAATGATTTGGTTCCCAAGTGGAAGATGTACAGGGAAGTCATCCCACTGGAACAAGCTCTTTTGTTCAGTTCCTAGAAACCAACTGCCCAATTCCAGATTTTCTCCATGCCCCTTTGGACTGGTGTCACAGCCAGAAACTTTAGGTGAAGAACATGGATGGAGAAGCAAACTTTCAGACAAGGTCATCCTTACAAAGCCCCTGATATCTTAGTGACTGGATTTGCCTCAATTGGTGAACCAAGATCATTGTGGGCTCAACTGTTGCAGGAGGTTTCCTGCCAAGCTATTTATTTCTCAACTTCCCACTGTCTTGTTCTTCTTTTTTAGCTGGGGCAATAGGAAACCAAATTCCCTTACTGTGGGCCACAGCCCTGACTGATTCTGCCCAGTGTTTCCTGTAATGGGTGCAGTATTGTTTGTAAATGATAATCTCCAACCCTGATGCTCCATGGAGCTTCTTGGAGCTGCCTTCCTCACCTCATCCTCTGTCTCTAGACTGCCAGAGCCAGCTGGACCACCTCCCTTGCCCAATCAACTATGTGCTCAGGAATCAACTGTTGACAACCCAGTGTTGATCCAATTCTTTACAACTAGTGCCCCATCACTTATGATAGAATTCCACAAGGTCCTCAGGACCACCTTCCTCATTGTCCCTCTGAGGGGTGGAGAGGAGCTCAGAGAAAGCAGACTCATTAGACATTCAACTAAAGACAAACATTATTAAAACAGTAAATTCCTCTCAAAGAATCTGTTGATACCAAGTCCAACAGTGCATTTTCAAAAGAAATCAAGATACTAGAACATGTTTCCCCACCTCAACCACACACACACATACACACACACTCACACATACACACACTCACTCACTCACACATACACACACACTCACACTCACACACACTCACACACACACATACATACACTCACATACACTCACACATACACTCACACACACATACACTCTCACACACACACATACTCACACTCACACACACATACACTCACACACACTCACACACACATACACTCTCACACACACTTACACACACATACATACACTCACACACACACATACACACATACACTCACACATACACTCGCACACATACACACATACACATACACTCACACACATACACATACACTCACACACACACACATACACTCACATACACACATACACTCACACACACATACACTCACACACACACACACTCCATCATCATCCTCACCATCACCACTGCCACCAGTGTGGATAACTGAGAGGCAGAATAGAATAAAGGTGCTCTAGTCTTTTGTGTATTCCTGAGTTGTCTTTCTGTGCATTATATTCCTCTGTGTTGGGATATGGCTGGGATATGGCTGATGAACCTGGAAACTTCCCCATCTTTTTTCCTTTTTGGAAAGAGCAGCCTCTTTTGGGCTGGCTGCTCACCTTTGGACTATACACTGGAGAAAATTATAGCAAGATCACTGTGGTGCCTCTCAGAACTGATTAATCCTTTCTTTTCTGCACTGTATAACATGTTCCTGCTTCTGATTTGGGGGAGGCACAAGATCTGAGGAAAGATTAAAGATTTCCTTTGACAAAACTGAAAAGGAAACAGTGTACTTGCTGGGTCTCTCATTTACACTAGTTGGAGCTCATCTCCATATTCTGTGACTAGGCTCCCATACCGCTTTAAGTCCCAATCTTAACTCTCAGCAGTCTGACTGTCAGTCATTGTCGCTAATATGCTGCTAATAATAAAACTGGCTGCTAGTTAAAGAATCGCTGAATAAGAGATTAAGCTGCTGCTGTTTTTCCCTGTTCATTTGCATTTTAATATGATTAAACTATACTAGGAACAAAAAGGTCAGTACTCTGAAGTGAGTCATCTTGTTAGAAACCAGTTAATATGAGTGGCATTTTGTTGGGGTTGGGGGCGGTCCTCTTGAAATCCTGGGGAACTGGCTACCTTTTCTTCTCTATTGGACATACTTCATGTCCAATAGAGAATTCTCCCTCCCAACATTTTAGAGTTGATTCCTCTTTTCCTGGGGTCTGAGGCACAATAATCATCCTGAGAGGGAAGAAGGGTCCCTCCTATGTTCATGCAATGACTCAGTGCCTTGCACAATGCAGAGGGACCTCAAGCCAGCCTTTGCCTCCAATGGCACAAGATACCTTCTGCTCCCAGCACAGGATGGTCCTGACGGATTGTGGGCAGCAAGGTAGGTAGTGGTCCAACCCTTGGAAATGCACATCCCCACGAAGACACAAACACCCCTCAAAAATAATACCCACAGCACCCACCTTGTACTACCAAAAGCCAGCAGCTATGACCAGTGTCCTTAACCTTTTTTGAGGTCTTTGGACCCTTTTGAGTATCTGGTGGAAGCAATGGAGGGATGTTCTATACATACACTCAAAATGCTGAATTCAACTTTATTTCAATTTCAGAGCAGTATATATTTAACTATGTACAAGTTAAGGACCCTGGTTTAGTGATTCTGGTGACAGCTCCCAACCCCTTCTCCATCACTAACACCAGTGTCTGAGCACCTAATTAAGGACAATAGCAAGTTTCCCAAACCACAGTTTAGGGGTTAAGCTGTGGTGAAAGGTACCCATTTGTCTCTAGACTTCCCACTTTGCCAGGAGAAAAATCCATTGATGTAATTAATGTTTGGGAAGTTATTTTAGATAATTCACAGATCAGCAGAGCATAGAATCTCACAGGGCATCATTAGGGTGTCTTATTCTTTGCTTTGACCTTTTATTAATATATTTACCTATCTTCTCATTTTTGTGCCATTTAATTGACTTGGGAGTTTGGGAGTGGAAAAGGAGGGAAAGCATCCAAAATCTCTATGGTCAAGTTGCAGATATGGGGTCAGGAGGCTATCCTGTTGATTAAGGTAAGGCTCTAAAGATCATCCACTTGCAGCCACACCACACACAGAATCAACCTGTCTCAATCTTACAAACACAAACACAAGCCTGTGTGACTATCTCCCTAATTTCTTGAGAGCCACACATCTAAGACACTTCGCTGGAAACTAAAATTTAGCTCAGAGAACACTATCAGTTTCCTAACATCACCCAGTTCCCAAACAACACATTTGAAAACAACCGGTAAAACTATCAGCTCTAGTGTTATGGACTTTTTCAAATCCTGGCACTGGAAGAAACACAGAATGGCTTGTGGAGGGTGCAGGGAGAGGACCAGACAATGGTGAGACACTGAAGGTTGGTGAGCAGTAAGGACAGGCATAGTGCAGGTTTCTTCTTCCTTTGAATTTTCCAACCCCCAGGAGCTTCATGCCACAAAAAACCAGAGACTCACACGGGCCTGAGGTATTGATGACTTTATTACTCTGCAGATACATGTCTGGGTGCCCAGCCCCAAACGCAATAGCTCCACTACTCTTTGTGGCTGTCCTCGTGAGCTGCCAGGCCCACCTTTATCACAAATATGAGGTACTCCTGGAAGTTAATTGCCCCATCCAGGTTGATGTCCAATTCTTTGAACCAGGAGTCTGCATCTTTTATCTGTGAAAATTGAGGAAGAAAAAACCAGCATGTAAATTTCTCAGAAAAGCTGAGGCATGGCTGTCTATAAAGGGAAACTTGGAGACCCAATAGCCTTGGACATCAACGGAGCCAGGCCAAGAACCCCAACCATGTCCAGCCCGTCCTCACCTTTATGTAGTGAGGACACTCATTAACGAGCAATTTCTTCAGGTCATCCTTGTAGATAGCATGGTAATTCCCTTTGATCAGGGAGTACTTGTGGTAGACATCAATGAGTGAGTTCAAGGAGCATTCCAGTTCAGTCGGCATGGTGTCCAAGGATTTGCCCACCTGAAAGGAGGAACCGCATGGAGAATCCTGCGATGGGGGTAGTGCACTTATCCATGGCACAGTAAAAACTAGAAGGACACTCAGAGGGCTTACGCCCCAAGTAGTGGCTTTGGCACCGACCAAATAACTAAACTCAGCAAATAACTGTGACTCTGATGGAAAAGGGCTGGATGATATGGATGTGGGTGTGGGAGGGGGTTCAGTACACACACACACACACACACACAGGGCCCACCAACTCTCCCCGTGACTCAAATCTCTGTCCAAGAAGCACCCAGCTTAGGAAGGGAATGTACCCTGTCAGCCACTGGAGGGGGTCTCCACTCCCTGCTCATCCTTGCCTACTCACCTCCTTGAGCACAGGATCTTTGCTTAGACATCCCTGGGCTTTCTCTCCGCTCTCTCAGAGAAAGCTACTCTATTCCCCCAGCCCTCCCCAAGGGAAGCCTAAAGCATACCAGGACAATTCCACTTACCAAGTGTCTCCAAAACAGAAACAAGAGTTGACAAAAGACATGTGAAGCTGAGTGTTAGTTCCCTTTTATAGTGCGAGGCTTGGTCAGCTCCAGGTCATCCAGAGGCAGCGCACCCTTCCTGAGTTGCTACAGCCCCTGGTTTCCCAACCAGGTGATGTGGTAATCACTGTGCAAAATGAACATTTCTTAGGGGTGGAGAGATTGGGGAAAAGGAAGGTGGAAGGCATTTACTGGGCTTCAGTGCCCAGAGGGAAAAACCAGGGGAGACCATGGCATGTGCTCCTTTTCTAGGCCCTGGCAGCCCGTCCCAGTCAGATTCCCGCTCCTGAGCTCTTTCTGATCTCGCTGCTACCAATCCCATGCTTTGTTGCCAACCTTTCTAAATTTGAATTGAAGCTGAATGCAGTGTTTTGAGTGTGTACACAACATTCCTCCATGGCTTTCACAAGGTACTCAAAAGTCCTTGGAGCTTTCCAAAGACTTTAAAAAGGTTAAGAGCACTGACTTTTGGTGGTGAAAAAGTGGAGTACTACTGCAAACACTGTTTTGGGAGATAGTTGGAGTCTTTATGAGGATGTGTGTTGCCAAGAACTGAATCAGTTCCTATCCTGTTGCTCACAGCCCTTCATGACCACCCCTCTTTTGGAAGCTTGAGATGTCCTATTCCCTAGGACATAAAGGCTGACTTGAAGTCCCTCTGTACTACACAAGCCACCAAGCCATGAACACAGGAGGGACCCTTCTATCCTCTCCAGGATGATTATTATGAATTGGACCCCAAGAGCCTGGGCTGAAGAGAGAAGTCCAGCTCTGGAACAGTGAGGGGGAGAAATCTTTGGAGAAGCCAGACATGCTTCATGTCCAATAGAGAAGAGGAGGTGGCCATTTCTCCAGGATTTCAGGAGCAATCCCCTCCCACTGCCACCACTAACAAAATGTTACTCAGACTGGCTTCTGACACTGGGGTGCATTTCTCATTTTACAATGTACCTCATATCCATGTTATCATGTAAGAGCCCCCAGAAAATGCCTATTAGGAAGACAGGACATGGAGCCTACCCAGTCTACAGATGAGGAAGTGAAGTGGAGAAAGGCAGAGGGATTCACCCAGAGTTTCCCAGTGCAGATGTGTCAGTGTTGAACTGAATCCCAGAACATTTGCCACCAGAGCGTGATCTGACAAGAGCATGACTCAGTGGAAAAACTCTCTTATTTCCTTCTTTCCTTCTTTCCTGCAGTCAACACAATTGACCCCATGCTTCACTGGGTCAATTCACTAAGCTATGGTCGCCTCCCTGGGGAAGTAAATGGGATTAGCCTCTCTCCTTCAAGTTTCCTTTGGACTTCATTATGCCACTTACTTTATACCTGTGTGACCCTGGGTCAATTACCTACCTTCTCTGTGTCTTAGTTATGTCAATTATGAAGTGGTGATTAAAAATAGAACATACCTTCAACCCAAGGAATGGTAGAAAATATTTGTAAATTATGTATTTGATAAGAGACTAAAATCCAGAATATAAAAGAACTCCAACAACTTAACAATAACATCAAAAAAAGCCCAATAAAAAATAGACAATGTCAGGGATCAGTGACTCATGCCTGTAATCCTAGCTTCCACCAGCTTAGGCAAAAAAATTTGCAAGACCCCATCTTGATGGAAAAAAACTGGATATTGTGATGCATACCTGTCAACCCAATGATAGCGGGAGAGCATAAAATAGAAAGATCACAGTCCAGGACAGCCTAGACTGAAAAGCAAGACCCTATCTCCAAAATAATCAGAGCAAAAAGGGCTGGAGGCATGGTTCAAGTGATAGAGCACCTGACTTGCAAATGAAAAGCCCTGAGTTCAAACCTCAGTTCTGCCAAAAAAAATTGGAAAGAATTAAACAGACATTTCTCTAAAAATATACAAATGACCAATAAGCACATGAAAAGATGATCTATACCACCAGTATAATTAGGGAAGTACAAATCAAAACTACAATGAGATACTACTTCACACCTGATGAATACTATTTAAAAAATTAAAAATAACAAGAATTGGCAAAGATATAGAGAAACTAGAAGCCTGGTGTACCATTGGCAGAAATATAGCATGGTGTAGTTGCTATGAAAAACAGTATGGTTTTTCTACTGCTGTATGATCCAGCATACAGTGGGTATATAGCCAAAAGAGTTGAAAGCAAGGTCTTAAAAGGATAGTAGGACTCCCATGTTCATATCAGCATTATTCACAATAGCCAAAAGGAGAAAATAATCTAAATGTCCATCAATGGATGAATTAACAAATTGTGGTAACACCTGTGAGGGAGTATTATTCAGTCTTTAACAAGGAAGAAGTTCTGACCCATGCTATAGCATGAATGAGCCTGGAGGACATTATACTAAGTTAAATAAGCCAATCTAAAAAGACAAATACTGTATGATTCCACTTATATGAGGTACTTAGAGTAATCAAATTCTTAGAAACAGAAAGTAGAGTGGTCATTGCCAGGGTCTGGGAGGAGGGGGAACAGACAATTGTTGCTTAATAGGTACAGAGTGTCAGTTTTGCAAGGTGAAAAGAATTCTGGATATGAGTTGCCCAGCAATGTGAATGTTCTCAACTCTACTGAAATGTACACTTAAAAATGGTGGTAAAGATAGTAGACTTAATGTTATATGTATTGACTACAACTAAATATCTTGATTTTTAAAAGCTTTCACCTAAAGAATAGAATTCTGTTAATAATAGATGCAAAAATATTTATGACTTGTGCACTTTCCTTGATGTGTATTATATTTTAATAAGAAGCTTATACAAAAAAAAGTGCAACGTGCTCAGAGCAGTGCTGAAGGAGCACATGGGAGCAAATGGCATGAGTGCTGCTGGACCTGTCCCTCACTCTATAGCTAGACTGGGAGCCCATCAGGGCCAGGCTGTGCATCTCTGCCTCCAGGAGCCCACACGATGCACAGTAACAGCAGCCACATCGTCTGCAATAAGAGCAAATGATGATCAAATAATAGCTGACATTGACTGGGCTTTACTACACCAATTCATCTTACTCCCATAGTAATCCTATGAGGCATGGATTATTACACAGATAAGGAAACTGGGGCCATTAGAGAGGCACAATATGTGACAGCATCTACTCCTGTCCCCTCTTGTCTGCCTCTTTGTCCTGATGTCTTCCTCATCCTTCTCACCCTACTGGGACTCTGTGTGCTCTGAATTCACCTTTGATCCTCCTTTTCCTACCCCATCTACACAAGGTAATTTTTCTCTTCTCTGTGCCACCCAAACCTTATCCATCACAGCACTGGTCCTGTTGTATTTTGATTCACCCACTGATCATCTGTCTCTTCTTTGGGACCAGGAGCCCCTCTAGGAGAGAAACCACACTTATTTCCACACCCCTAGGGCCTGGCACCTACCAGGTACTGAATACTTATTGAGGAGACAGATGAATGCAAAATTGAACTTTTGACTTTTCCCATACCCAATGCAATGATTCTCTTCAGTTACCTTAGATCATTTTGGGAAGAGGGCAGGGCACAAACCCATTAACCAAATTCAGCCTAACTTCCTTGACAAGATGGGAAAACAGTAACCTTTCTGCTATGTAACATGACAAGATTTCAAACAATGACCAGCCCATACTTCATACCTGTTATTCACCAGGTCCTGTCTTGTATAACCTGGCATACACCTTACCCCAGCAGAACATCCTATTTCCAAAATGTGTCTCCACCCAGTGACTCATTCAATCGTCCCAGAAGCCTTGTGTAGTGGACATGAGAGGCACAATGTCCCTATGTGACAGATGGGGAAACCAAGGCATGAGCATCACTCAAGGTCCTTCCCCAGGAGTCAGGGTTACTGTCATGAGTGACAGCTTCCTGTCAGCATCCCATATAGGCTGACCAGTGGAACCATGAACTGTCACCCCTCACACATGCATTCCCCCTAGGTAGACAGCCTTGGGGCTTCAGAAAGAGCAGGACTCAGGCTGAGCTGATCTCACATAAGTTAGTGCCAAGAATTGGGTAAACATGTTGAGGAAAAGGCAGAATTTGTAATCAGCCTGATGGACATGGGGCAACCCAGGATAGCGGAACCTGGCCATGTTTGCAGGAAAGAGCTCAGCTCCCAGCTGTGTGTCCCAATACAGCTGGCCCAGCCCATATTGAAGCTAAGGAAATGAGGACAGACAAAACTGATAGAGAAATCCCCAAGGGTGGGGCGGAGCTGTAGGGAGGCAAGGAGACCTCTGAGTGGTGCCTTTGTGTAACCTCAAAGGCTGGTGGAACTTAACACAGTTCACTCAGGTGAGAGGCAGGAAGGACTCTCCCTGGGCCTCAAGGAAGGGTGGACTGTGTAACCCAAGCTCTTGTCTCCATGTCAGATGTGACCAAGAGGCCCTGTGGGAGGGAGCACAGGTCCAGGTCATAAGATTCTAATTCCACAGGCCCCCTTCCTACACTACTTCCTCAGACACCTGTTGAGTGGATGGTATGCTGACACTGGGCCAAGTGAGGGACTATATATGGGGACACAGAGTAAAAAACAGCCCTGTGGGAAGCCCTGGAAGGAAACAGGATGCAAAAGTCTTCCCAGAGATGAACAATGAGATGACCTCCTGTTGCTCTTTTTAAAAATCTATTGTTTCTACCTCAGTAAGATCAAGACACTAGTTCCTAGTTCTATCCTCACAAAAGACAAAATGGGCTACAACAGTGTCTGAAGGCAAAGGAGACTCTCCCTGGGGAATTCTGCCTTGGATTCTTGGGCTCCAGGGAGGGGTGGGCCAATGACACAGACAGATGGACGCAGGTCTCAGTTGGGAGTCAGGGACCACAGGAGAACTTGGACCATTGAGTCATAAATAACTCATAATCAGAAGCAACACCCACATCCATCATCATGTTTTATTAGCAAAAAGCAGACCCAACCCTTCCCTCCTCCAGGAAGCCTTCCCTGGTTGACAATCTCCTAGATTCCACTCATTGTTCTTTCCATGACATGTGGCTGTTGTGGCAATATAGTCAGAGGAGAAACCAAGCGACACTCAGAGGAGTGGAGAACTCAGATTTTAATTTTACGCTAGGGGGCCCTGTGTATGAGCCCTGAACAAAGGATTCACAGGATATTTAAAAGGCAGTGTAGGGCATCAGATTACAAGGAATGTGCTCTTCCATAAAGTAGGGCTAGTAGTGGGTTAGAGACCTAAGGTTTAGATAAGAACAGCAGGGGAGTCCTGCTTTGGAAAGTTTATTTACAAGTGGAGACAAAGAAAGGCAGAAATGGGTGCTTATCTCTGCATGGTGCTTTTCATCTCAGTCCTGAACTTTTGCATGCCTCTAATGGGCAATTCCTCATGTTTTACAGCTCTGTTTGAGGTTACAGCTTTTAATTGACAGCTTACCATGTTTTACAATCCTGTTTCAAGGCTATCTTCCTCTTCATGGCTACTGAAGAGGCTGGATTGTCAGCTTTGCACTTGCCTCTGTCTCTAACTCAGCAACCACAAAACCCAGTGTGCTGCCTTCCTGGATCACTGGCCCCACCTTGACTCCTGTGATGCCCAAGCCAACTACCAAAATCATCTTCCTCTCTGTCACCAGCACCTAAATTTGGACTCCACTCTGGCTTCCCTCTTCTCCCTCAGTCTGTCACCAAGGTCTGGAGCTTTGATGTTTGCACATCTCTTGTATCTGCTCCCTCCCTTCCTTCTCAGAGGGTCACATTCCTCCTCCTTACAAACTGAAAGCTGAGGATGGTGACTGTGTCTCCCCACAGACAAGCTCTTAGAAGCAGGGGCTGTGTCTCCTCCATCAGACGAGCACTTTGGATTCAAGGGCTATGTCTTTCTCATCCAAAATGGATGTTTCCCAGGGCAGAGACTAAACCTTCTCTTTCTGGATCATTAAGGAATTGCCCAGGACCATGCACTGATGAATATTTAGAAACATTTATGAGGTTGTTTGTACATGTATGTGTGCACACATGCAGACACACACGGCAGAGTCCCCACTCAGCTGCCCACAGCCAGGTCACACCTCCTCCTGGGGCAAGCCACCTGCCCTCCCTCTAGTAGAGGTTGTGCTGGGCACAGTGATAGGCACACAGCTGCCTGTGGTACTGCAGGTGGTAATCCTTCACCAGCTTGCCCAGGATGTACAGGAACTCCTCAAAGCAGATCTGGTTGTCCTTGTTCTTGTCTGCTGCCCGAAACAGCTCTGAAATGTAGTACGGCTCCTTCCGGCCCTAAGGAATAGACAGAGGATCAGCCATCCACCAGAGCACACAGAACTTGCCAGCTGCCCCACCTGCTGGGATGGGCAGGTCACAACTACTCGCTTGAGAGGCAGTGACTTGGATGGCACATGCCACAAAATCACTGAAGAGGCAGAAGTGTGGTGGGTGCACCAGTCACTACCAGGATTGACACAGGCATAGACAGATAACAAAAATGGTACCATTCATGGGCTAAGTGTGTACAATTCCTCAGCAGTACTGAGCAGCCTGGCACACCCAGATGCACTTCAAGTACACAGTCGGTAGCTATGGAGCCTGACTTCCTAGATGCACCGCAAGCTCCCCTGGAGGAGCTCCCAGGAGGGCTCCCTGACTGCGAACACTAACTTCCTTCCACACACTAGGAGCTCCTCAAGGACAGGTCTGCCTGTCCCTCACCTCTGGGTCCCAGCACAACTGCAAGGCCAGCACAAAGGGGGTCCTCTGTTTGCATGATGCGGCATCTGCCTAGGCATTGTTTATGACACTTTGCCTGTGTTGCCTACATAGAGTACAAAATGAGAGAAAGGACAGAGCCGTGAGCCCTGGAGCGGTCCAGATGGTCCTAAAGTGGCCCTGAGGCTGAGGATTGGGAATGGTAATGGAGAGGAAACAGGCATTCGAGATGGGAAGGAGGACGTGAAGAAAGCCAGGGATCAGAGCAGAGCGAGGACACTGCACAGGTAGAAGAAGCAAGGTGGGCATGGTGGGGCACTAGGCTGGGCAGCTGAAGCGGGTTCAGCAAGATTTGATGAGTGTCAAAGTTCAGGCATGCACAGCCCATCATGGAGCGTTTGCAAAGCATTTGGGGAAGAAAGTTGATGCATCTGAAAGCAGCTGTGGCTTGGAAGGCAGCCCCTCATCCCTGCAGGCAAGTTTGAAACCCCTCTCCCCTCTCCACCCACCACCATCTACTGCTCCTATAATCCTTTCACCTTCACAAAACTGACTCACCAGAGAAGAACTGGAGGCTTCCTGCCTCAAGCAGGTTTTCCCCACCTTCTCTCACCTTGGCCCACCTTCACCAGGTCTGCTACCTGTGCCCAGGTGTCTGTTTCCAAGGGACTATACCAGAATGGGACTGTGAGCCCCATGAGTGCCGGGCCTGGCAGTTCAGACATATTCCCATGGAGTTTTCCCTGGAAAGGAAAAGGTTCCCTGAAAGCGGGATTAAGCACAATAACCTTCTACCCTGGTTCCCCTCTCTGAGCCCTCAGAGGCACTCTACTAAGCAGAGGAGAAGACTGTCTCCTTGACCCATCTCAAAGCTTGGCAGTGGACATGGGAAGTGACTAAAGAAGAATCATTTCTGGGAATGGGTTGGACCTAGTATTTTGTAGAGATGACAGCCCAGAGACCTGGTGCATGGAACAGAGGGCAGCACACACACAGACACTCCCAAGACTTACAGTCCCCAAGGAGCCCAATAATCATAGGCTGGGACTGATGATAGGGAAGATGAGTAGGCCCCAGGGGATGTCTGACCCTGGAGTTCAGGACTGGGCAACTCCAGGTCTGAGAGACTCCAAACAGGAAGTGAATGGGAAAGTTATATTCCCCTACCCTTCCTGGCCTAGGGCAGCCCCCACAGGCCTAAACTACCACCACTCCCTCCCCATGCCCAGGGATGGATAGAAGGGCGAGAGAAGAGGCTGGAGCTCTAAGAGCCTGAGAGGTGTCCAGGGTTTGGAGCACAGTCACTGTCTGAATGGGCCTGTGAGCAGACAGAGGTGTGAGCCTGAGCTCAGGAGGCAGGATGGGCAGAAAATCAGCAGGTTAGGGATTAAGGCTGAGTCCCAGAGTTAGCTATGATTAGACTGGTGTAAACTACAAGCAAGAAGAAGAAGGACAGGAAACAAAGTCAGGCAGATCCCTCCCTCCACACCGCCTCATTCCTCCCTCCCCTAAACTGGAGATTCTCCTGGAAATCGGCTTCCCTGTACCAAACACCCTTGCCACTCACTTTCAACCATAACCCACCCCATATGGGAGTACTGGTCCCCGCTGCGTCCTCTACCCTTATCCCAGGCCTACGCACCAAGGTCTCCATGAAGCGGGGCACATTGTCCATGAGCAGGGCCTTCAACTCCTCCAGGGACAGGGTCTCCATGTCCCCTTCCCGTGCCGCATACTGGTGGTAGCAGTGGATGATTTGGAAGAGAGATTCTTCCACTGGCGTGTCTGGCATAATAGCTGGTCCCCAGCCCAGGGCAAGGGGCAGATGCAGAGGTGGAGCAGCTGGGGACAGCACATAATATGGTCCAGGCCAGTCCTCAGCAGGATGGGTGCTTCCTCCCAGGACCTTCGGACTTCCTGCTCCTGCCCACATCCTGCACCATGTCACAGGCGCCCTCCCCACACTCTGCCTGGCCCCTTACAAGCTTGACTCAAAGTTACTGCCCTCAAGAAACTTTCCTGCAAAATCTCAGGGCACAACTGTGTCCCTTTACTGGGACTAGGGGTCTCTGGGATGCAGGGGTTGTGTTTGTCTGCCCTCCAGCCCACCCGTAGCTTAGCAATTACCTGGAGTCAAGAGTAAGGACAAACTAACGACTCTGAAGCAAAACCATGTTTATGTTGTTTATGATGGAAATGTTTAAGTCCTATGGCAGGATCCCCCCACCATAGACAATTGTGTGCTGCAAGTGAAACATTAAAATAATTACACTACCTAGGAAATACAGCCCTGCTCTTGTGTTGGTGCTGTTTTCTTTCTCACTTCAATGTATAGAAAACACAGGCATTGCCATCTTTTCCCTTCACTGCATGACCCTCTCTAGGAGTTGACCTGCCCTCATCATGGTCCCTTCAGTCCTACAAACCCATGCCCCAACACTCAGCATCTGTGGTGTGCTAACCCATCTGGGGCTCTGATGTCCCCATGACCTTCCACTCCCCACTTCCTACATAGATGGAGATCCCTCTTCCCAGGAGGCAGCTGCCCTCCCTGGGCCCTGGGAAATAAGAATCATGACAATCACTGCTTCTACTCCTTATGGAGCCAGACACCAGGCAAAGCAGCTTTTATACACATCACCCCCATTTAGTCCTCGAAATGGTCTTAGGAAATAAGCATCATTTCTCCATTTTCCTGAGAGGGAAATAAAACCCAGAGGGGTTAAGGAATTTCCCAAGATCACACAACTGACCCACCCTTGTCTTTGGGAACAAGTCCAAATTATTAGGATCCTAAACCCCTTCGGGACCACAGTAATCCATCCACACTGCGTACATTCTCCAGAACAAGGAACCTATCCCATCTCTGCTCTCTAAAAGCTACACACACACAACACAGCCCAGCCCATCCAACAGTTCTCTTGACACTGACCTGTTGCTGTTGGGGCAGGGCTGCTCAGAACCCACAGTTCAGCCTGTGCTTGATCCTGGAGATTCTTAAGTGCAAGCAAGAGATAGCTGTGTGATCAGGGAAACCCCCACAAAGCCCAGCATCCTGCCCATTCCTGATGTCTCCAGTTATGACAGCCAGCATGTGACTCTCCACAAGTTCTTCTACAGCACGACTGAGCCTTAACTGCATTCCTGAGATGACGTCATGACACTTATGGCTAAGATGAACTCAGTCAGTTTCAGGGACCCACCTGCAGGATCTGAAGCATCTACGAATCACAAAAGGTCTCACTATCCATCTCCTGCCTCACAACTCACCCTCCCAGCTCCAGGGTTTGGGTGGGGTCAGGCCTATACTTAAACACATCTTCCTCAGATGTCTTCCCTCAATTAGTGAACCTCCAAATGCCACAGTCATGAAGTATTTCATTCATTCATTCAACAAATATTTCTCGAGTACCCACATTGTGCCAGGATCTCTGTTAGGCAATATGAATAAGATACTGGACCAGCTCATGGGGTGGGGATTAGTGAGGGGACAGAGTCACACTACACTGTTATGATGCACTGTAAACTTGGACTGTATGGTAGGAAAGGGCACTAAGGGCACCAGCAAGGAACACTTCTTGCCTGGGTAGTTGAGGAAGACTTCCTTAGGGAAGTAATCATTGAGCAGCATCTTGGAGAGAAGTTTTGAGTTGCAGTGAGGAATGAAGGACCAGGCACTCCAGGCAGAGGAAACAGCATAAGCAAAGGCCTGGAGGTGTGAAAGACTGTGCCTGCTCAGGGGATGGAATTCACAGGGGAACAACAAGTAGTTAGAAGAAATAAGACTGGAGAGGCAGAATGGAGACAGAAGGTGAAGATCCTTGTGCACAAAGCTGGAGCTATAGCCATTATCCTGTGCGTGGAGAGAAGCTACAGAGAGGGTTTTCAAAGAGTTGAGTGATGGATGGGAGATGAAACTGAAATGGTAGGACAAGTTTTGCTCATTTGGAAAAACCTCTGAAAGAGGCCAGACTTGTGGGTGTGGCCTCCACACAGATACCACCTGGGCCCATAGGTGAGCAGGTGAGCTCCCTTCATTATTTCAGCCCAGCACAAGCCTTCCCTCAGTGACTTCCACCTAGCCTGGGCAAACTACTCACCTACTCTGGGAGGAGCCACACAGGCTGCTGATGAGTGAATCTCCCAGACGAGGGCGCCAAAGGACAAATAACTGAACCAGAGACCTAGTCTAAGCATCCCTGAAGGTTTAACAGAAAAGAATAGGTAAGTGCTGAGAGTATAGCCCAGTGGTAAAGGGCTTACATGCACTGGGCCCTGGGTTTGGTCCCCAGCACCAGAATGAATGAATGAATGAGAGATACTGAAGCCAATATTGTTTCCAGTTTGCCTTCATCTACCCAACATAGCAATTTCCTAAACCAACAAGTGGTTTTCAGTACACTTTTAAGTTCCTAAGCTAAAAGTATGGCTCAAATATCTAATAAACAAATAAATAAATAAAACCATTCAGCAATGCCAAACTAGAACCAGAGAAAATTTTATTGAAAACCTTTGATTCAGCCATCATTTCTCCTAAGAATTTTTCCAAAGAAATTAAGTAACCAGGTGTTAAAAGCAATAATAGGGAAAATGTTCACCACTGTAATGTCTATAATCAAGAAACAAAAGATTAAAGCCCTGAAAGCATGTAATTAATGACTTTGCATACCAGTATGGGTCACCCTTGGACAATTACTAGGTAATAATTTGTGTCTCAAAAGAAACTCCATTTCTGACATATGGCTTCTGGGGGTCAGATTGTACTCTTCACCCTGCCTTCATTCAACATGAAACAAAATACCCACACAGAAAATACCAATGTGCAGAAGTGACTCCTTCCACAGCTGTGCTAGAATTGCCTTTTTACCTAATGCAATACTATAGACATCTCACAGCTTAATCAATGCTAGCCTGATTTTTAATGATCATTTGTTTGTAACAAAATTTATCTTACTAATTCATTATTGGTAGACACTTTAGTTACTTTTTAGTTTATACATTTTAATTCAACTCTTTCTTTTTTGTTTCTTTTTGTTGTTGTTGTGCTGGGTGAGGGTACATTGTGGCATTTACAAAAGTTCTCACAATATATCAAATATATCATAGATGAATTCATCCCCATCAACTCTTTCTTAATATTGATATTTCTTCAGAATTTTTCCATGTGTTAGGTGTCCCTGTGTTGGGTGCTAGAAAGTGAGACAGAAATTAATTGAATAACATTCTGTCTTCCAGAAGTTCACAGTCTAGAGGTAGGGGGAGGCATTTAGACAAAACTTCAAAGCAGTGTGCTTAGAAAAGGACCACTGCTTGGTACCAAACATGCATCCCCCAGCTTACACTCATACCCTTACATCCCATACTTACACCCACATCTGTGACCAGAGTAAGTTCATGAGCATACCTATTGTCAGATCTTTCGGAATGTGGAGACGTCACTGGGAGCAATACCTTCTGGTGTACAGAAGCCCCTCCAGCAAAGGAGTAGGAATTTCTGGTTAGTCTGAGAAAACAGCTTCATCCCCTAATTGACCCTGAAGCTCCCCCAGGATTCGAGAATAGGTAAAGTCTTCAAGAAGATAATATTGGAGTTTTGGCTAAGAAGACAGTAGGGTAGGGTGGGAGGGATTAAAAAGTTACTTTTGAAATTAAAGAAATGAAGCCACTTTGGTTCCCAAGATGATAAATCAGGTTAAAGCATGACACACTGAAGCTCAGTTGGTATTTTTTACCAATTCTCAATATGTATCTACTTTCAATTTTACAGACTTTTTTATCTGTAAAATTAGAGCAAATTAATATCCTAGTCAACAGTACTCAAGAGTATCTAAACCATGTGATGGGTGGGGTACTAGGTATCTTAGAACCCTTGGGGAGAACTAAATTCTCTGCAAATAAAATCTTTCCGACCTCTGCAAAAAAAAAAAAAAAAGAACCCTTGGGGAAAATGTTGGAATGAAAGAGAGAACATGGTGTCATTATGGTTTTGGGCAACTGATTCTCTGCCACATGGAAAGTTGAAATGAGTTCAGAGTATGGGAAAAGCCTGGGCTGCTTCTATAGGATCGGGAGGCTCTTGGACAGTGAGAACATATCAATGTATTGAGTTCTTTCCCTGTGCTCTGAGCACTCTTCCATGACTTTTATGTCTGCCCATTCATCTTATCTTCATAACAATTGCTTATAAGAAACTTAAAGAGTGACAAACAAAGCAACATGCTCAAGACAACACAGCTTGCAGGTGCAGAGCGGTGTTTCAAACCCAGGCCCTTTTGCCCCACAATACCTGTTCTTAACCGCTATGGCTGTCTTACCTCTAAACAGGTATCTGCCTTGGGAAGGCTCAGGAAAGGGCCCTGCAGTTAGAACAAAAGAACAAAGACACAGGTAGGAGCCAATCTAATGTGTTCAAGAGATAGAAAGATTGGAATGACAAAAAGAGCAGAAAGACAAAAAGAGCAGAGGCAGCAGGTTAGGTCTGAGAGATAGACAAAAGTCAAATTCATGATTACTTTGCAAATTTGGAGTTTACTGTAAGTGGGATAGGAAGGAACTAAACAATTTTAAGGAAGGGACATGCCATGTTTTTTGGCTGGAAGGCTGCTATTGTAAAACTGCCAACTCTCCCAAAAGTCACCTGCAGATTCATTTCAATTCCAAACCCATAATCCTAGCTTCAACTTTTGTAGAAACTGATGAGCTAATTCTAAAAAGTATATAGAAAAGCAAAAGGCTAAGACTAGCCAAGACAATCACAAAAAAGAAAAGAGATTAGAGAATTTACACTATTCATTAAGAGTTATTATAATAGCTATGGTAACTAAGATTCTGAG